TGTAGTGCTCTACTTTATCCTGTAGTCCCAACCTCACCTTGTAGTTTTCTACCTCCTCCTGTAGTCATCTACTTCATCCTGTAGTCCTAACCTCACCTTGTTGCTCTCTACTTCCTTGAGTAGTCCTCTACCTCACCTTGTAGTTTTCTACCTCCTCCCGTAGTCCTCTATTTCATCCTGTATTCCTAACCTCACCTTGTAGTTTTCTACGTCCTCCTGAAGTCCTCTACATCATCCTGTAGTGCTCTACTTTATCCTGTAGTCCCAACCTCAACTTGTAGTTTTCTACCTCCTCCTGTAGTCATCTACTTCATCCTGTAGTCCCAACCTGACCTTGTAGTTTTCTATCTCCTCCTGCAGTCCTCTACTTCATCCTATAGTCCCAACCTCACCTTGTAGTTCTCTACCTCCTCCTGTAGTCCTCTACTTCATCCTGTAGCCCCAACCTCACCTTTTAGTTTTCTACGTCCTCCTGTAATCCTCTACTTCATCGTGTAGTTTCAACCTCACCTTGTAGTTCTCTACCTCCTCCTGTAGTCTTCTACTTCATCCTGTAGTCCTAACCTCACCTTGTTGCTCTACTTCCTTGAGTAGGCCTCTACCTCACCTTGTAGTTTTCTACCTCCTCCTGTAGTCCTATTTCATCCTGTATTCCTAACCTCACCTTGTAGTTTTCTACGTCCTCCTGAAGTCCTCTACATCATCCTGTAGTGCTCTACTTTATCCTGTAGTCCCAACCTCAACTTGTAGTTTTCTACCTCCTCCTGTAGTCATCTACTTCATCCTGTAGTCCCAACCTGACCTTGTAGTTTTCTATCTCCTCCTGCAGTCCTCTACTTCATCCTATAGTCCCAACCTCACCTTGTAGTTCTCTACCTCCTCCTGTAGTCCTCTACTTCATCCTGTAGCCCCAACCTCACCTTTTAGTTTTCTACGTCCTCCTGTAATCCTCTACTTCATCGTGTAGTTTCAACCTCACCTTGTAGTTCTCTACCTCCTCCTGTAGTCCTCTACTTCATCCTGCAGTCCCAACCTCACCAAGTAGTTCTCTACCTTCTCCTGTAGTCCTCTACTTCTTCCTGTTGTCATGATAAGAGCAAGGAGGAGGTTAGGACCCAAAATGCAGAAACCCAGGATGACATGAGGCAGGGGTGGAAGATGAAATAAGAAATTCTTTATTTGGGGATAATCCAAAGGCAGGGAGCCAAAAACCAAAAATCCAAATAATGAACAGAGATCCAAAAACACTAGAGACTCAAGAAGCATTAATAACACTAGAGATCCAAAAACGAGACGAGACTGACAGAAAAACACAATGGACCGACAAACATATAGAGACACAGACAGGGTTAAATACACTGGGAGGATGAGAGGGAGATGAACTGCAGGTGTGTGGGGAGAGAGAGAACAGGTGAACTCAATTACAAATCAGGGAGAGGGCAGTGAGTTGAGGGGGAAGAAAAATAACATGATCTAAGACAAAAACTAAAAACAAGAAGAGCCAAATAACTAACAATCTGGGGAAAGAAACACACTAAAAGAGACTAATAAATGAACAGCTGAAACTAAAGGAAAACACTACAGAAAGAGACACTACAGGGGCGTGACTAAGGAAGACCACAGGGAGCACAGGACCTGGAGGGAAGTATCTGGGGGGGAAGGAAACCTAGAGGGGTTGCAGCTCTGGGAACACATGAGGAAGAAGTAGATAATGACACAAGAGGGCACTAGGATACACAACAGGAGAACCTAGAGAAGGATGGAGAACACAAGAAGACACATGAGGGGAGACACGAGGGGAGACGCAGACCATGACACCTGTAGTCCTCTACTTCATCCTGTAGTCCCAAACTCACTTTAGTAATTCTCTACCTTTTTGTAGTCCTCTACCTCACCTTGTAGTTTTCTGCCTCCTCCTGAAGTCCTCTACTTCATCCTATAGTCCCAACCTCCCCTTGTAGTTCTCTACCTCCTTGTAGTTCTCTGCCTCCTCCTGTAGCCCTCTACTTCATCCTGTAGTCCCAACCTCATCATGTAGTCTTCTACCATCTCCTGTAGTTCTCTACTTCTTCCTGTAGTCCTCTACTTCATCCTAGTCCCAACCTCACTTTGTAATTACCTCCTTGTAGTCCTCTACCTCACCCTGTAGTTTTTACCTTCTCCTGTAACTCCAACCTCACTCTGTAGTTCTTTGCCTCATTGTGTATTCCTATACCTCACCTTGTCATTCACTACCTCATCCTGAAATCCTCTATCTCACCCTGTAGTTCTCCACCTCCCTCTGCAGTCCACTACTTCATCATATACTCTTTACCTCACTCTAGTTTTCTACCTTACCATGTATTCCTCCACCTGATCTTGTCCCCATGATTCTCAGTTGTGGTGAATTGATGTTTAGATGATTCAGTCCTGCTCACTCCACAAAGTTATCCACCAATGTCCTGTCTTCACCTGTTCCCCACATAACTGCCGACTCGTCAGAAATTTTCTGCAGTTTATCGAGAGAGAGAGAGAGAGAGAGAGAGAGAGAGAGAGAGAGAGAGAGAGAGAGAGAGAGAGAGTCCCGCCCCTTCTGACCTTCAACTTGAACAGAAAATCAGCTGAAACCCAAAGGTATTGTTATTATCTAATAAAGTATTGAACACGCATTTTATTAAAGAAAACAAAATGCAACAACTGCGATTTGAACTAATGTAAACATCAGATTTTATTCTGAGGATCGTTGCGCTGCCTTTACAGTGCGTTTCCTGCTGCTCCATCATCTACTGACGCACCGCTGATGTTTGATTGGTTCTTTTTGGCCGTTCAAGGTAATGAACGAGTGGAGGAGGAGTAGGAGCTCCAACTAGAGCTCAAGACGCACGGAGGTAGGAGCAGGAGCCGCTAAACCCGCGCAGATGATCATTTTCTACAGTCGTTGATTATCACTCAGACGAACTTTTCTCCTAACAGTTAAATCATTTTATTAAAGTCGTTTGCGTCATTCTGAGGATGCTGGTCCAATTCTCGAGGCGGATTTGTCTCTTTTTCTCCTGCGTGTTTCTAGAGCCTGTGAGTATGTTTGAGTTTTCTCATGACTCGTTAGTAAACGTTTTATTCGATTATTCTGTTGTCCGGATGATTTTGTAAAGCTCTCTAGTTGTTTCGCACTTGTCTGGGCGCAGAATTATTGTTAGGATGTGTGAATGAACGTTTTACCATCATTTATGAACGTTTTAAAAGTGTTTAACAAATAGACTACACAGCTGAGATATCCTTTCCAGGTGTTTTATGCTCATCAGTCAGCTTTTCATGGAGGAAAGTCTTCAAGCATGGCACCATGGAAACAGTTTTCTTTGTGTGCCTCTAGTTTTTGCTTTTCGCTCACTTTGTCGTCTCTCGTGAGCATTTTAATCCAGTTGGAGGTCAACGCTCTCAGAGCAGCAGATCTTGTGCACAGGCACGTTGTTTAGACTGAAAGTCAAGTGAAGGAGGCTGCTCCAGTCAGATCTTTGCTTTTTAACTTTAACTTAAAGCAACCCTGATCCATCACTGTCAGCATACCAAACCACCCAATCATCACTCTGGGAAATAACAAGGGAAGCTCTGCTGCTTGAAGATAAATGATCATGTGGGAGTCACATATAGGATCATAGTCGTGCTGACAATAGCCATGTAGCTTCAGTCTGATTAATCCTCATTGAAAGGAGACTCGTCCATTGAAATAGGAGCAATACATCTGCCCATGCAAAGTCCTTGTTAAAACCATGTGGGTAAAACCTGTTGAACATCTACAAGCATGCATGTACGTATCTTTATTTATTTTAAAGGACAAAGATCTTGATGTCTGAGATCCGTGCCTCATGTTGTTCATGTTTTTTTAAGGAGAAATGTAAATGTTTCTTCCTGGGGAAGAAGGACGAATGAAAACACAAACCAGCTCAACACCCCTGCGGGACATTTGATATGCTGCCTTGACAAAGACAAAGAGCAGGCTGTTTACAGGTGTATGCAAATGTTTCTATGTAGAAAAAAATCCAGATAAGCTGCAAACCAAGCCTGACATATCATATTTCATTTTATGTAAAACTGGTCATATATTTTAAATACTGGCTGTAAAACTGACACATAAGCAAAGTAACCATAACTTCTTCAGCAGAAACAACAAAAGGCTCGTTACTTTACTTTTGGTCTTTGTTTTTAGCTAAAATCGCTGCCAGGTGTGTTCCACTCACAGGTGTATGACAAGCACCTAACCGACAGCTCTTGTGTGCACAGGTCCTGCAGCTTTATTGAGTTTTTGCATTTTCTAAGCATCAGCACACCATGCATGTCCCCACAGGTTAATGTCTGAGCAACAGGGCGATGGAAGCTGGGGTTCTGGCAACCAGCCCTCTCTGGTACCATCTACAAACTTAGGATCAAAGTTCTGAGCAGCCGAAGAAGCTAAAGTTAGACTGCAAAGTGGGTGTAACAGAAAAACAACACCCCAAGAAGATTAGCTGCTCACCTTTGACTCACACAGACTTCATCTCAGACACTTTCACAACAGTACCACGGACGGATCTCTGATCAGATGATGAGGAACGCCTGTGGCTAGTGTTCATGTTTATTAGGTTTCCAGGAAATCTGCAGCTTTGTGTCACCGGCAGACGATAAGAAGGTTCAGAGATGGATTAAGGTTCTGTCTGCAGAAGCAGGTTGATATATTTCTCCCAGCCAGAACAGAACTTGTATTGGTTATAGCCAACCTCAGTGCAGTGCGATGTCAGAGACCCGCCTCCATCCTCCATGATGTACTGGCGAATCTATTGGGCCATTCCCATCTGTATCGGGTCGGCCCGGGCCGGGTAGCGTAGGTTGTTTACATATCTGGGTGGCCTGGTATTTTTCCGGGCCAACCAAGGCTCATTCTCAGCCCTCTTCTCGAGGGGGTCTGCTTCAGGCCGACCAGGGCCAACACACCCACTGCTGACAGCAAATTCACACCTTCCATTAGAGCAAGCCTCTGATTGGTGGGTAGAATCAGCCCACATGGGCTTACGGCAAGGATGTGTGGAATCAACCGGGCCAGGCTGGGGCCGACTGGGGCTACCCGGCCCGGGCCGACCCGGTACAGATGGGAATGGCCCATATGGGGCCACAGTGCCATTGGCTCCTGCTGAAATCTGATTGGCCCCCTGAAGTTCCCCTGTCCTCTCACTCATCTGTCCAATGAGCACATTACAGGTGGATGCACTTCCAAGTCCAAACACTAGTGGCACTAATGAGGCAAATATGAGTTTCCAGCGTGAAAGCTTGTGGACTGTTGAACTAAACTTGGCCCTCCTATAAATATTGTGTCCCGTTGATGGCCTCATACTCAGAAAAATCCCAGGTCAGCCACTATCAGAATGGGAACACTCGTCCCCAGAACCAGGATCATCACCGAGTAGCTCCAGTGTTTGGGAGGAGAGATTATGGGACAACCTGCTGTGCATCCAGACCTCAACAAAGGAGAACATTTGTGAGATCAGCTAGTGGTGGTGGTGACCAACACCACCTTACTGGTGGATCTATGGGATGCTGTTCTAGCCAGGCTTGTGACCAGCTTAAGGAGGAAGAGTCAAACTGCTGTAACAGCATATCTTCTACACTACTCAGTGAAAAGAGTTTTAACTTATAAATGTGGGAAAGTGCAAAGATCCAGTCCACCAACAATCTCAGAACATGAGCGAATGCATCCACAAGAATGGGATTTTTGCCCTTTTTTGGCTGTTCCTCACACATTTAGCTGTTTCTCATTCCGCAGAAGCACACTCATTCCACTAATCCGACTTTCCAGTGATAAAAACACGCCATGCTATCAGTCATGGGGAGAAATCCTTGACTAATATAATGTTTGTAAAGTTTTTTTAAGGATGCTCGATATTGGCTTTTCTACTAATATCCAATATACCGGTATTGTCTGACTAATTTCCGATAGCGATATAAAACAATACTGATAGATGCTGTGTAATAAAAGACAAACTGAAACATTTTAGTTGCTAACATCACGTATCTCCTATCATACATGCTTAACCCTCTCAGGCTCAAAATAAGTTTTGATAAAAGGACGAACAACTAAGTCCTTCAGGGGTACTTCTGAATTAAAAAATGCTCATGAAATACGTATGTGGAGTAACCAGGTAGGTAGGTTTAACTGTTGCAAATCTGCAACGCCTGTCTCCAGAGGGTTAAAGGGGCACTTTGCAACATTTTCATGTTTTAAATCATTTTCTTGAGCCAGTATGTATAAAATGTCCCTCCAGGGTTAATGAAAGGCCACCCAGCCTCTATCGCCCCAGAATGTTCTACTTGCAACTTCAGACTAGCTGGCCGCTCTGTTGGGACTTAGAAAAAAATTGAGCTGTCATACCTGGCGCTGCAGTCTGTTTCCCACACGTTTCCTGCATGTTTGAGATCATGAACACAGCTGATTTGCTTAATTTAGTGATAAATCACTCCTGTAGACACTAAAGAAGGCTGGGGAGACATTTAAGCTGTTAGATTAAGGCGTTCAAAAGACAAACGCACAGTGAGGAGATAGGTTTTGCTGTCAGTTCTACAAACAGACACTAGGAGGTGCTAAAAGCAAGCCAAAGCTACTTAGATCCCCTTTAAATAAAAAAAAATTATGTGCAAAATGACAACTACTTAAATTTAATTAGAAATAGGAAGAGCCCCTTGTTTATTTTGTCTCCAACAGCAGCTGAATGTGATTCGCCCTGAGCGGGATGCTAAGATGCAGAGATTGGAGTTGTAGCATCAACAAGTCATCTCCATGCCGTGTTGTTGTTGTGCTCAGCAATGGAACCAGGTTCATTCACTGTGCTGATTGAAATCACCTGGTTTAGTGGCTGAGCTGAAAAAAAAACACAGCATGGAGATGACTTGTTGATGCCACAATTCCCCATCTCTGCTATGATACAGTATGTGTACCAGTCATGTATTTATTTCTTTTTCTCCATTTTGCAGTTATGATGGTAAAACATTTATAAAAATCTTCAGATAAGAAAAACAAGCCTTGGGTGAAAATTCTTGTTCTTGTTTTAGTTGTTTGCTAGCTACACGCAGCTATGTGCTGTGAGGACCATGTTCACTACACAAGGCAAATTTATACTTCACAAGTTGTGCCAAATAAACTATCCATCCATCCATCCATCCATCCATCCATCCATCCATCCATCCATCCATCCATCCATCCATCCATCCATCCATCCATTCTCTTCCACTTATCCAGAGTCGGGTCACCTAAGTCGAGAAGCCCAGACTTCCCTCTCCCCAGCCACTTGGGCCAGCTCATGCGGGGAACCCCAGGGCGTTCCCTGGCCAGGTGGGAGACATAGTCCCTCCAACGCGTCCTGGGTCTCCCTTTAGGTCTCCTCCTGGTTGGACGTGTCCAGAAAACCTCACCAGGGAGGTGTCCAGGAGGCATCCCAAGTAGATGCCCAAGCCACCTCAACTGGCTCCTCTCGATGTGGAGGAGCAGCGGGTCTACTCTGAGCCTCTCCTGGATGACCGAGCTTCTCACCCTATCTCTAAGGGAGAGCCCAGACACCCTGTGGAGAAAACTCATTTTGGTCACTTGTATCCGCGATCTCGTTCTTTCGGTCACTACGCAAGGCTCGTGACCATAGGTGAGGGTAGGAACGCAGGTCGCCCAATAAATTGAGAGCTTCACCTATCGATCTTGCATCCATCTTTTCCCTAGTGAACAAGACCCCGAGATACTTAAACTGCTCCACTTGGGGCAGGACCTCATCCCTGATCCGGAGAAGGCATTCCACCCTTTTCCGACTTAAGACCATGATCTCAGATTTAGAGGAGCTCATTCTCATCCCAGCTGCTTCACACTTCTCAGCTCCAAATGAACTAAAATATCTCAAAAACGTTACCTCAGATCTGTCATATGTTGACATTTTGAGAAGGAGAAATAGCTGCAGAATTTGATGCTTGGGGCAGCAGCAGCTCAGGAGGTAGAGCGGATTGTCCAGTAGTCGGAAGGTTGCAGGTTTGATCCTGACTTCAATCAGAGAATGCTGCTGTTGTGTCCTTGGGCAAGACACTTAACCCACCTTGCCTGCTGGTTGTGGTCGGAGGGACCGGTGGCGCCTGTGCTCGGGAGCCTCGCCTCTGTCAGTGTACAATGTCTACAATGTAGCTCATCACAATCAGTGTGTGAATGTGTGTGAATGGATGAAAGACACACTGGTGTAAAGCGCTTTGGAGTCATCTGACTCTGAAAGACAAGTCCAAGTCATTTATCATGTGTATGGCTTGGGCCATCAAGAGTAAATACCGATACAGAGATGTGATGTTAATGGTAGATCAATGATATCGTGCATCCTTAGATTTTAAATGTCAGTAGTAAGAAGTTGTATTTATTTATATATTTATGTCATATTCCCCCCCCCCCTCCCCCCCTCCCCCCTCTCTGAAACAGAAGTAGTTTGGAAGAGAAACATAAAGATGCTTTTGTCCACAGGTGTTCTCAGCACAGAGTCAGATGTGCGACCTGATTCTGGAAATAGACAAGGAGAGGAGCATGTGCCAGGCTCAGATTGAGAACAGAACAACAGGTAGATGGCATTTTAATCTGTTTGTTTTTTTTTACCTGTTCATGATTTGACTCGTTTGAAAACCTCAGAATGTTATGGTTGACACTAGAGGTCGGCCGATATATCAGGCTGATATGTAACATTTTTTCTACATCGGCCAAAATTATTTTTAAAAGCAGATAAATAAATAAATAAATAAATAAATAAATAACAGGCACCTGTGTAGCCAACTGCAGCCACTACTAGACTGCAGAAAGGACCTGAAGAAGGACCCAACACACTGTTTTTTAAGTGTTTTGACTTTGTTTTATATCTGAAGTTCAATAAACATTAAGAGTTTTGTTGACTTGTTTAATTTATATGTGAGTGTTCAGTCATCTTTCACTATCACTGTGCTGCTAAAACGTATTTATATCGATCTTAATCGGTTTTAGATATCGGCCATCGGCAACAAAATCCTTTAAAAATCTGTATCTGCATCGGCTTTAAAAATCCCCATATCGGTCTGCCTCTGGTTTACACACCGAGCTCTAAAGACAATAAAGCCACTTTGGACACTTTCATGTTCAGCAGAGAAACGACTTAAGTGATTTATGCCAGCTTCAAATCTTTATCTAATCTTTATTTTTCCAACTCTTCTTTTACTGGAACCAGAACCTGATTTAACTGTAATAAAACTGTAGATTCTGACGCTTTTATTCATCTATAAAGCAGGAAGAACATCTCCGTCATTCTTTTCAAACTACCAGCTTTTTAAGTCTGAAAATAACATTCATTTAAACAAATAACATTTTGTTTGAAGAGTACAGCTGTGAGGATGCAATAATGAAACTCAGTTTGTTAATTTGTTGTTTCATTCCTGATGGCTTCAGAGTCACGTGTTGCTAAGTGAGGCGCTATGTGCATCCACCATGTTATGACTCATTTACCAACGTTGTTTTTTATTTAAGATTCAATTAGTGCTAAAAGTTAATAGATTCCTCGGTGTGCTTTATTGTGTGTGTTTTCTTTGTGATAAACTGATGACCTGATTCTGGGTATGGAGATCACGTAGCATGTGGAAAGTCACAGTGATCTGTTAAATTCAAACAACAGTGTGTCATGGAGGACGAGAAGCTGCTTCAATAGTCATGGTGGAAGCATCCTGGCCCAGGGTTCTCCACCGTTACGGACCCGATGTTGTTATGACGGCTGGCGTGAGCGTTCACGTTCTGGTTGCCATGGGAACTCCATCTTCACCTTCATCAGTGAAGTGGATTCACGCAACGACCACCCAAATTGATCAATGTTTCATCATTTTATGATAAATAACTTCCTGTTTCTGTTAGGCTGCAGTGGAACATGGGACAAGATCACCTGCTGGCCTGCTGCAGACGTTGGCGAGGTGGTGACCATCCCCTGTCCCAAATACCTCTTCTACTTCTCAGGAAGTGTTTCTTCACGTAAGGTTAAATTTTTCAGAAGGACTGTGCATTTTTTATTTTGTTGTGACAGCAACAATTTATGTAAGCTTTACTGTATCTTGGCATCCTCATAGTCTTCATGGGAGAAATTGTTGCTGAGTGGTGCTCAGCTTTCTGCACACTAGATCTCTGACAAACTCACATGGCAGTAAGTCGAGTTTGGGTGATTTTAGGATTTATTAAAGAGCAAGTTCACTGAGAAACTGTTTTTTACAACTTTTTTTTATGTGATTGGGCACACTGAGTTTCACATGCAGGCTAAACATGAAAACAGTCTTCCACCCCTATTTCCTGCATTAGCCACCAATAGAAAATGGATGGCAAAACGCTTGGATTAGAGAAACCAGTCAGATCTACATCACATTGCTATTGTTTATTTAGCATCCAGGAAACAGCAGAGGACGTGGTGACGATGGCACAGGAGTTAAGTGCTCGCCCCGTAATCGGAAGGTTGCAGGTTTGATCCCCGCTCAGTCTGTCGTTGTGTCCTTGGGCATGGCACTTCACCCACCTTGCCTGCTGGTGGTGTTCAGAGGGACCGGTGGCGCCTGTGTATGACAGACTTGCCTCTGTCAGTGAGCCCCAGAGCAGCCGTGGCTACAATGTGGTTAATCACCATCAGGATGTGAATGTGTGTGTGAATGGGTAAATGACTGATTGTTTTGTAAAGTGCCTTGGGGGGTTCCAGGACTCTAGAAGGCGCTATATCAAATACAGGCCATTTTCCATTTTACCAACGTCTCAGCTGGTAGAAGCTAACCATTAGCATTAGCATCTCCACCACACAACAGAACTCCTCCAGGTTTGTGTTATTTGTGGAGATAAAACATCAACGTTGCAAAGCAAACGGAGTCAGTGGTAGAGTCATTTTTCATTTAGCCCATCAGAGGTAAGATGCCAGAGGATGAGGAAATAAGACTTCAAATCCTGCCGTTTTCAGCTCTCCTCTGAGCTGGCTAACTTCTACGTCTTGAAACAGGAGCAGCAGAGCTTTTTCTCACAGAGATCGACTTACAAGGCATTCATTTACATTAGAGATCACTGCAGATGTGTTGAAAAAAATAAGTGAACTTGGTCCTTTAAACACGCAGAGGACACTGACAGAACGCTTCTGCATGCAGCGACCTCTTGATACTAACGCCTAATTTATACTTCTCTGTCAGCTCCACGAGGGAGAGACACGCATGGACAGAGACGGTTTGCCTTCGGACTTCTCTGTCTCCTGGGGAGTGTTGCAAAGCAATTCCCTCGCCAGAGGGCATAGCGCTGTTCTGTGGTATCCTGTCATGTGTACGTTCCAAGTTAGTGCATTTATTGTGTTTATGTTGTATTATTTTGTATCTAAGAGACTTTTTAACACAGACAAATTAGTCCCTCATTCTCCTCCACCTCTTCATGCGCTCGCCACCTCTAAACCCGCATTTCCCACAATTTCCGTCCACAAATAAAACGCTTGCTGTATATCTTTTCATTCCTCCAGTCACGGGTGAATAAAGCTTTCATATTTTTAGAGTTTTTCCGCGAGGTATTCTTCAAGCTTCTCCGTGTCTGCTGCTGGATATCTTCGGCTCTCTTTACGCTTTGAGGGTGCAATGGCGGTGCTGTTGACGACAGCGGCGTCCTGACCAACCACAAGCTTACGTTCTCCATCTCGTTAGATGGATGTTTAGAAAAGAGAGCCCATCTCCGTCCGTCCTTGCGAGCCTGCTGTAGAGCCCTCGAAAGGACGGATATTGGCGTTGTGTGCGTCCTTCCCAACGCAGACAGAGAAGTATAAATTAGGTTTAAGCCTGTCAGAGACTTTGTTCAAATGTAGTAAAATGAAAACTGAGTCTGAATTCCTTATTAATCAAAAACTGTTTTAATGTTGGCCAAAGTTGATGAGTTGTGGCAGCCATCTTGGATAGGATTAAAGGTCATTTTCTTCCAGGTGGATCATCTGAACCATTGGTCCCTGTAACGGTCAATCATTCTGGTGAAGCGTTCACAAAAGGCCTTTGTTGTACGTGCTCATTGCTGGGCAGTAGGGTTCTGCATTGTTTGATTTTGAACGATTCCGATTCCAATTCCTCATTTCGATTCCGTTTCCTATCCATTCTCGATTCTGATTCTTTCAAGACATGACATGCTTTACACGAGCCAGCTAACCACAGGTCCTACTTGATGAAATAATCTTAACTTCAACATGAATTTTAATTCTATGAACATCAACATCGCCTTCATTTAGACAAAAACATGTTTTGGAGAAAAAAAGAAAAAGACTTGCAGCACAACCAGTGTGTTTGTTTCTGACCACAACCAAAGTCTGGAAGAAGCCTCTGGGATGAGAGGCTAAATGTCTCCAACATATCCAGAAACGTCCAGCTGTTTTCAGCTAAAACTCAGGATGATCATGTCCAGGATGACTGAGAACTACACCTCCATGCTGCAGCAGCATTCAGTCAGAACAGAAAGTGAAACCTAAACGTAGCTGCTGTCAGTAACGATCTAACAGATTTTAAACATTAAAACTCTCCACAGAAACAGTTCAGAAAGGAAATTAAAATGTTTACAGCTTTGTGTGTGATTTATTATTATTATTATTATTATTATTGTTATTATTATTATTATTATTATTATTATTATTATTATTATTATTATTATTATTATTATTATTATTATTATTATTATTATCATTATTATTATTATTTATTGTGGCAGAGGCTGGTGTGGTCCACCACAGAGAAAGCTGCTCTAGCACGATGACTTTAATTATTCTACAGGTTATTGTTCAGCCTTCTGACGCACACACACACACACACACACACACACACACACACACACACACACACACACACACACACACACACACACACACACACACACACACACACACACACACACACACACACACACACACACACACACACACACACACACACACACACACACACACACAAGTGTTGGTGAGTGGCTGCATCTGACTGCTGACGCACCGTGTGTGTTTTTATTTCTGCAGTGAGACAAACCCACCTCACACTGTCCAGAGTTTGTTCTTTAAAGCTTCTATCCACCGTGTAGAGCAGGCCTATTCAATTACTTTCCCTACTGGGCCAGATTTCAAAATCGTGGATCAGCTTTGGGCCGGATACCCAAATCTTTATTTTTTACGGACAATGTTTAAATATTAAATTTTAATATTTTGACTGATATTACCTCTACCACTAATAAAACAACAACAAAAAAAGCAATGCACAATGTATTTTATTGCTTTAATGATCTGTATTAATTTACCAGCTGCAGAGCTGGTAATACAAACATTTGTTTTATTAACCTCCAATAACTCAGTCACAGCTACTAAATTAACATTTACAATAACCATAGCTTGACCGTTATTCTTGCAACTTTAGTGCGAGAGGTGGCACTTTTTGTTTTGAACAAGAAATGGAATATTTGGCTCATAGGAGCTGAGTGCAATGCGCAGACTGTAGTGCAGAAAGGATTCAGTGAGAGAGGAGCACAGGTTTGTTTTTATTGCATTCATATGGGAAAAGCTGGATTCACAAATATAGGTGGATCCAAACATACTGAGAACAGTTACAGATACATTCTTGAGGTTTGGGAACTGATGGGCATTGATCCGACTCCAAAACTTAGCGGGGCCATTTGTGCGCAGCTCTTGTGGCATCGTAAGCGATGTGCGTAAGCGTAAGTGATGACTGCATGTCCACCAACTCCAGCAGGAACTGTCCCTCATCGATAGAAGAGACCACTTTCTTAGCTTTGATGGACAATGTTTCCTCAGCGATGGCAGCAAATGGATCTTTCGTTAATTGCATCGCCTCTGTAGGAAGTGACAGATCCTCCAGGCAGCTGGTGAAGTTGTCCTTCAGTTTCGCGACTAAACCAGTCATTTCTGCCGTGACTTTCGGAGGAGAGGTGGCTTTACGGAGTGTAGGAAAATGTAGCATTCTTTCACCAGTCAAGTCAGTTGCGAACATGTTTAGTTTTGCCTGAAAGGCGCTTGTTTGCTCCGCAAACTGGGCTGGGTCATTGCTGGGTCACAGCTAACATAGACATGAATATGTACAAGCCACACTATGGCAGCTCCAATAGACAGCACCAGTCCACGGGGCATCTACGTATATATGTCTCTGATTGCTAAAATGGTGTTGTGTTCATGTGCAATATCAGTGTGGGAATTTAGAAACTTGCATGCTTAAACAGTTTTTCAACAGTTTTTTTTCCGTTGGTGGTTGGGGGATTGGGTGAGGTGGGCCAGCTGGGTAGGGCCCGCGGGCCGGATGTGGCCCACGGGCCGCCATTTGAATAGGCCTGGTGTAGAGTTGTAAGATTGGCCGCGGATTCCTCTTCCGTCGGCTTACTAGGAATCACAACTAGGAATCGAAATAAAAAACTTTGAACGATTCTGGATAAAAACTAACAGTGGGTCCTGGATAAATAAATGTTCGATGCCCAACCCTACTGGGCAGTTTTCACTTCCTGTGCATGCACATTCATGCTCACACATTGACAACGGCATCTATTGGAAGCCCTGTGCATGCACATTCACATGCACACGGCTTCCCATAGATGCCGTTGTCAATTCAGTTCAATTCAAGTTTATTTATATAGCGCCAAATCACGACAAGAGTCGTCTCAAGGCACTTCACATAATAAACATTCCAATTCAGGCCAGTTCATTAAGCCAATCAGAAATAATTTTCCTATATAAGGAACCCAGCAAATTGCATCAAGTCACTGACTAGTGTCAGTTACTTTACAGCAATCCTCATACTAAGCAAGCATAAAGCAGCAGTGGAGAGGAAAACTCCCTTTTAACAGGAAGAAACCTCCAGAGAATCCTGGCTCAGTATAAGCAGCCGTCCTCCACGGCTCACTGGGGATCGAGAAGACAGAGCAGACACACACACACACACACACACACGCACGCACACGCACACACACACACACACACACACACACACACACACACACAC